AGTTAGATATTTAAATGCTATGTTGAGATTTTAGGGGGAAGGAGAAAGAAGCAGGAGTAGAGAAGGTGATACAAAACTAAACTGGGAAGCAGTTGGAGGAAAATGAGACTGTAAGAGATGTGGATTGTGAGTCTGAAAGAGTCTATGATATCATGATATAAAAAAGGGGAAAAAAAGTTGGTCCAGTGGGAGCCAGGGGTGGAATGGAGAATAAAGGAGAATTGAACTCCCAAAAGTAGAGAGAAAAAGAGGACTGTATGACGACATCTTGAAATTGAGAGTGAGACAATAAGACCGTCTATTAGCCACTCAAGCAATTTATTAAGCACTTATTATTTGCCAGGCACAGAAAGGCAAAAATAGTCCCTGCTCTCAAAAAGCTCCTATTTTAATGGAGGAGACAATATGCAAATAATTATGTAGTCTAGAGTGGTGGCTCATGCCTCTGGCCGCTGCTACTAGGGAGGTTAAGTTTGGCAGATCACTTGAATCTGGGCGTCCTGAGCTACAGAAGAGGTAAAGCCAACTGGGAGTCTGCATTATGTATGCTACCAATATGGTGAGCCTTCAGAGCTGGTGGTGAGTGGAGGGGAAGAGATGGATTGCCAAAGGAGGGGCAAATTGCTGTGTGTCAGAAACCGAGCAGGTCAAAGCTTCTGTGATGATCTGCTGTGGGATCCAGGCCTATAAGAGGCTGCAGCACTTCTAGCCTAGGGGAAAATGGAGGACCAATCTCAAAAGTCAAAGCAAGACAAACTCATCTCTTCCAGCAATGTAAAACAAGATACGTGCAGCATAAACAGAAGGTTACTCAGAAGGATGGGCCTGGTGGTGGGGATAAGGATGGTGGTGGCGGTGGTGGGTTCCTGCAGAAAATGGGCAGCTCAGTCTTGAAGAAAGCTGGAAAAGCTAAGATGTGGAGATGAGAAGAGAGAACATTTCAGGCCTGGGGAACAGCTATTGTAAGTACACAAAGTTAGGAGAAGGAATGTTATGTCTGAGCAACAGCAAATTAGGCCACTGTGGCTGAATTGCACAGGTGGGTCATAATGTAGGAACACCAGAACGGCAGATAGAAGGACCCATCTTGTGAAGGGCTTGAAACGTCAAAAAGGGGATAAGATTCAAAAGAATGGAATTTCTCATGAGGAAATTAATCAAATGTGACAGCGTAACAAACTAAAGGGAATTTGCAGTTAGGAAGGACCAAGAGTTGGGAACGGCAAGAGATTAGGGACAACTTACAAGTCCTAGAACTGAAAGAGTTGGAGAATTTAAATAAAATCACTATTCTATCAGTTAAGGCACCATGGGACTGCTTCAACACAGGAAAATACAAAGTTTTCCTTTAATGCTGAAATTTGAGAAAAGATATTAGAAAATTACTGAAATTCAAAATGTCATCATTTGGTAGAGTACTGGAGGGAGGGAACGTGGGTCTTACAGTGGCTCACTCCACTCTGCATCTGTTGCTCAGCCTGGTCTCAACTCCAGGAACAAGATGCCTCTCCCAGGTTAAGCCCATCACCTCTAATCTCATCATTATGATGCCGACTGAAGCTCTGACCACTTCCCTTAGCCTCCTCTCCTCCCTGATTGGAGGGCTGGAGGTGGAGTACCAAACTCCTCTCAATGCCTTCCTTTACAGAGGGAAGAAAGTAGACTCTGGCTCACTCCACTTGGCCTTGTTTCAACTCCTTTGTGCCAGGTAACCCCTGGCTTATTCCTCTTCTCTTTCCTGCCTCCATCCATTGGACTGTAAGCTCCTGGAGGGTAGAGACTGTCTTTATTTTTATTAATCATATCCCCAGTGCTTAGCGCAGTGCCTGGCACATAGTACGTGCTTAGTGAATGTTTACTGGATGTTTGGACTGAAGTTGGAAGGAGATGAAGAGGCACCTAGTCCAAGTTATACTTGGAGAGGAATCTCCTCTCAAATATCTCTGACAAATGGTCACCCAGCCTTTGCTCCAATACCTCCAGGGATGGTGAACCCACTACCTAACAAAAGAGATTACTTTGCTTTTGTACAGCTGAAATTATTGGCAATTAAAAAAAAAATAAACAAATAAACTTTTATTTTAAACAAAGTTCTTAAATATAGGGTGTTCCAAAAGCTTAGTGACTTTAAATGGCACTAAATCTTTTGGGACACCCTGTTTAAATATCAAGAGATTAAGAGATCTTAAAGATTAATTACATGAATCATGTTTCTTGTTAATAAGAGAAATCATAATCATCCCTAATTCTCTTACCTTAAAATGTGTATTTGTGTGTAATTCACATTACAGATTTCCATGGCAGGAATTGCATTTATTTTAACAGCTAGCCATAATACTAAAGGATGGTAAGGATGAATAGAAAGGATGTTTGTTCCTCATTAAGCTATAAAGCCTTCAAACTACAGCTGAAGCACTAAAATACATTTTATTTAAATAATTAGCAACTTTTAAAAAGCATCAAATTTAAATGTGGCCTTCAGCTGTTTTCAATGATTTCTCCTAGTTTAGGCCTCTGAAGCCAAGTAGATCAAGTCTAATCTCCATTCCACACAACAGCTTGGAGATAGTTATGTCACATGCTCCCATTTCCCAGAATCTTCTTTTAGATAGTTATGTCTCTTGCTCTCATTGCTCAGAATCTTCTTTTAGATAGTTATGTCTCTTGCTCCTATTTCCCAGAATCTTCTCTTCTCCAGTACAAATATCCTCAGTTCCTTCACTGATCCCTCCTATGGCATGGTCTTCTATCCTTTCAGTATCCTACCTGCCCTCTTCTGGACATCCTCAAACTTGTCAACATTCCTCCTAAAATGTGGAACCCAGAACTGAGCACAATACTCCAGATGTGGTCTGACCTCAGCAGTTTGCCTTGGGGCTGCGACCCTTCCTTGAATCGAATACATTGCCTGTAATTAGTGCAACCTAGGACCACACCACAAATGCTGCTGAAAGGAGTTTATAGTTCATTAAAATCTCTTGATATTTTCCATACAAGTGATTGCTTAGCCTTGCTTCCCTATCATGTACTTACAAAGTTGATAAAATTCAAAGCATAAGACCTAATACTTAATATACACGTTATCTCAACGGGTACCTTGGAGTGATGGATAGACAACTGGCCTCAGAGTTAGGAAGATGTAGGTTCATATTCTGCTTCTGACACATATCACCCGTGTGACTTTGGGCAAGCTATTTAAACTCTCAAGAGTACCAGACAACTCTTAAGGGGGGAGGAAGGGAAGGGAAGAAGCATTTCTATAGCCCCTACTATGTGCCAGCCACTATGCTAGGTGCTTTTTATCAACCTTATCTCATTTGGTCCCCATTTTGTATCCCCTGCACTTATCAAAGTGCCTGGCACATAGAAGGTACTTAACAAATGCCAGTATATGTCAGACACAGAACTTTTCAGTCAATTAGTAAGTAACCTTGAACTTTCCCAAAGTTGTCTCAGTATTCTAGGCAACTCTCTAAGTCTGTAACTGGTAGAGAAGGTCGAGGGGCTTTCTTCACTATTCCTATACCAATGAAACCACAAGACTAGTCCCTAGCCCTGGTTTTTTTTTTTTTTTTAGTAAGGCAATTGGGGTTAAGTGACTTGCCCAAGGTCACACTGCTAGTGAGTGTTATGTGTCTGAGGCTGAATTTGAACTCCAGTCCTCCTTGAGTTCCAGGGCCGGTGCTCTATCCACCCTGATTTTTAATATATAAAAATAATTGGATGAAATGAACACAGTTAAGAAAATTGCTGAAAGAATGAGATCTTTGAGCATATATATTTAATATTTCTCTTTATATATTTTTCAATACCTGGGTTTAATCAGAAGTCATAGTGCTAGTTCAATAACACTGATTCCAAAGTTCAAGGTTGCACAGATACTAAGTGGTAGAGGTGAGATTTGGACTTGATTCCTAGTCCAACAATCTTTCCACTACAACACAGCCATTCCATATACACAAAAAGAGTTAAGGACATCTGGCAATAATTCTTTTATTGTTCATTGAAACTCTTCCACTTCAAGGTCAAATGAGGCAATTCTCTTTTCTCTTGTCTCCTTCCCTTCTTTTCCTCCTCCTCCCAATAACTTTACACAATAGTTTATTTTGGAACATTGGAAGCTTCCAATTTGAATGGGAAAGGGAGAAAAGTTGGCTCCAGCAGCTGCAAACTTATGCTGCTCAATAATGTAGGTTACCTGCTTGTCTTTCTTGGGTGAAGAAGGTACAGGGGTAGGTTCCTGTTGCATCATTTCTATCATATTTGTGTCTTTTTCCTTTTCTTCATTATCTGATAGATCTAAGAAAAGAAGAACAAGGCACATTAAAAATCATGAAAAACAGAAACTGGTTCCCCCTTTCGTTAAACAGAATGAATAAACAAAAGAAGGAGCATTTATTAAACACTCATGAATCAAGCACTATGCTAAGTGCTAGGAATACAAATACAAAACCCAAGAAATCTCCTGCCCTCAAGAAGCTTATACTTTAATGGAGAGAGATCACATCTTCAGGACAGTAGTGGTTATGGAGGGATTTGGAAAGTTACAGGGATGGAAAATGGAATCATAGGAGAATAGATTGGCAAACTTAGACCTTTAAAGACTATATTCTTTAATTTCAAATCAATTACTTGAATACAGATGATATATTTCAGATGTGAGTTTCTAATGGCTGAAACAATTACCAGGAATCTTCCAGGCATTAGAAATTGACAATTAAAATATATCATCTGTATTCAAGAAGTTGATTTGAAATTAAACAATATATTCTTTAAAAAAACATATTTCCACATTAGTCATGTTGTGAAAGAAGAATCAGAACAAAAGGAGAAAACCATGAGAAAGAAAAAACAAAAGAACAAATAATACACTTCGATCTGCATTCAGACTCCATAGTTCCTTCTCTGAATGTAGATAGCGTTTTCCATCATAACTCTTTTGGAATTGTCTTAGATCACTGTATTGCTGAAAAGACCTAAGTGTATCATAGTTGATCATCACACAATGTTGCTGTTACTGTGTAACACACATGTTCTCCTGGTTCTGCTCACTTCACCCAGCATCAGTCCATGCAAGTCTTTCCAGGTTTTTCTAAAATCCACCTGCTCATCATTTCTTATAGCACAATAGTATTCCATTACATTCATATACCACAACTTGTTCAGTCATTCCCTAATTGATAGGCATCCCCTCAATTTCCAATTCTTGGCCACCACAAAAAGAGCTGCTATAAATATTTTTGTACATGTGGGTCCTTTTCTATCTTTTATGATCTCTTTGGGATATAGACCTAGTAGTAAACAACATATTGTTTAAAGGTCTCCTAAACCTCTAAGACCTATGAAGAATGCAGACATTAATCTTTAAATAACTTTTTTTTAATATCACATCTTCTACAGGAAGCCTTTCCCAACTCAGTGTTTTTTCCTGTTAATTATTTCATATTTATCCTGTATATAGCTTGCTTTGTATCAATTTGTTTGCATATCTCTCCCACTAGATTGTAAACTCCTTGAGGGCAGGGGCTATCTTAATTTGACCTCTTTTTGTATCCCCAATGCTTATAAAAATATTGTGAAAATGAGTCAAATTCTTGTTCCAGAACTTATTTAAGAAACCTGCTAACATACAAAATAGGAAAATTTCATTTTAGTGAAACTTGTATGAATTAGTTTGTTTCTTCAGCAGTGATCTGATGCTGTTCTGTAGATTCTGACAAGAAAAGGACTCTTCTGAAAAGGGATTCTTATCTGCATGATTTCCATTAAGACAGTAGCCAAAGAGAACAGTTTTCCTTCAGGTGGGGCCTCTAAGACCCTCAGGCTGCAGGACTTTACCCCCATCTCCAATTCTCCTGGTCTAATTAAGTGTCAGGATCAAGTAAATGACTCTTGTCTATGTCCCAAGAGTCAATTGATCCTGGGCAATGAATCCAAGGGAGAATAGGCAGGCCTCTCCTCACCTCTCCAAATAACCAAGATGCAATAACCTGGAGGCACTAAAAGATTTCACTAAAAGAAATACAGGATTTCCATGGTTGGAGACAGTTAGACTAAAACAAGAGGTAAAATAGTATCCTTTTTCTAACTCAGGTCAGAAAGGGCAGAGATGAATTAAATGGATGAGCAAATACCCATCACCCCAGTCCTTTACAGAGAATCTGGGTCCAGCTTCCTAGTGGGAATCACATTCCTTTCCTGTGGTATAAAAAAAGAGATTAGAGTCTTGTTTTCCAAAGCGTTGTCTAGAAGTATAAGTGAGAAAGTTTCTGTTTCACAAACTGGGAAAAATACAATTTTACATTTAGAGGCAGAGTATCCAAATACATAACTTTCTCTGTGGGAAAAGAATGTGGAGAAAGACTGTGAAGTGGCTAGGGATATGTCTCTATGTCTTCCATACACATGGAATCCATCACTAAGGTCAATTATCATAGGTAGTATTTAACTGTATTGTACACTTTTCTATGTACTTCCATTACTTACAGGAAGCTAGGAGGCAAAATAGTTGGGAGTTCAAATCCTGCTTCAGGCACTTACTTGCTGTGTGACCCTGGGCTCGCTGCTTAACTCTCTGCAATGCTTCCCTCATATGTCAAGTGGGGATAATAATGATGATGATGATGATGATTATATTTCCAACTAAAATCCCATCTTCTATAGGAAGCCTTCCCCAACCTCTTTTAATTGTAGTATCTATCCTCAATTATTTCTTATTCATTCTGTGTATAGCTTGTTTTGCATATATTTGTTTGCATGTTGCCTCCTCTATTGAATTGTAAGCTCACTGAGGGCAGGGACTGTCTTTTGCCTCTTTTTGTATCGCCAGTGCTTAGCATACTGCCTGGCACACAGTAGGTGCTTAATAAATGTTTACTGATTGACTAAATAATAGCACCTACCTTACAGGGTTGTTGTAAGGATCAAATGAGATAACATATGTAAAGTGTTTTGTGAACCTTTTTAAAGGCACTGTATAAATGTTAGCTACTAGTTGCCAGTAGCATAGTTCCTGCTATATAAGATTAATGACAAATATGGTTTGAAATAAAGTATTTTGAAGATTAAATCTATTGACTCAACTTCAATGATAATTGACTCAAAATAATAATAGCTTATCCTTCTATGAATTCATTTGACAAGTATTTATTAAGCACCTACTATTTACATGATTTAGGTATGAAGACTACAAAGATGGTGTTTTACTGTTTTCCTTTCAACAACCTTCTAAGGTAAGTACAGTATTATTATTAATTATGTATTATTAATTAATTAAATAATTAGTATAATTAAGTATTATTATTAGTAATGATGATAGCTAACATTTACATAGCACCTACTATGTGCCAGACACTTTGCTAAGCACTTCATAAATACTATCTCATTTGATCCTCACCAAAACCCTGGGGGCTATTATGATTCCCATTTTATAGATGAAGAAACCAAGGCAGAAGAGGTGAAATGACACCTAGCGTCAAAGAGCTATTAAGTATCTGAGGCTGGATTTGAACTCAGATTTTCCTGACTCTAGATCCAGTGCTCTATCCACTGGACCGCCTAGTGACCTCATTACCATCAGCCAGAGAAGTTAAATGACCTGTATGGGTTGTGTGGTTAATAAGTGGTAGGGTGAGTATGCTAGCAGCTGAAGACCCTCTTTTCACTACATTCCTATTGCTTCTACCTGGTACAGACTTTCCTTATGACCTGCCAGAGCAGTGGCTGCAAAAGCCTAACAAAGGCCTTTGGCTCCACACTGTCCTTCCCACCCTTGTCAGGCTCATCTTTGTTGTCCAGAGATGTGGTTACACATTCTGTCACATTTTGCTCATTCGTTTGCTCAGAACCTTTTGGTGTATTCCTACTGACTCATAAGTAGTAACATTCAAATACCTTTGCTTGCTATTCAAAGCCCTTTGTATTATGGCATCTCCTTAACTTTCTAGGTCTTAAAATTGTATATCTATGCACATACATGTGCACATGTGTGAACATATGCATATATGTATATATTATGCGTATGTGTGTGTTTCCCTTCCATATACTCTATCCTCTATTCACACTGGACTACTTGCTGTCCCTCTAAATACCCTACACTTTCCCTTCTTCTTCTTCTTCTTGACTTTGTTCCTGTCCTTCCTTATACCTAGACCGAGCTCCTTCCTCTCTCTGCTTGCTGAATTCCTACCAGGCTCTAAAACCCAAATCAAATGCTGGCCCCTCCATGAAGCCTTCACTAATCCTCTATTCACAGTTGGTGGTGCTTCCCCTGTCCCTGCTGCCAACACATATCGAACATTTCATGTAGTAGTAATATTATTTGTGTATTTATCTGCCTAACAACCCAACGTGGGAAGAACGAAGTGAATGAAGAATGTCTGTAGTCCAGATTACGATAGTCACTTGGATGGATATCTCATAGAACCAGTCTATCAATACACATGATGGGTAAGGACTGAGAATGGCTAAAGAACTGGACCCAGAATTGAAGGTGTGGAGAGTAAGTGAGATTGTTTATGGTTATAACATTACACAGTGCTTTTAAGGACTCCAACCTTCTACCTGAACAAAAGGCCATCTTATTAAACACCAATAGTCTTCCAGTGGTAGCACTGGAAAATAACATCAATGGACAGTAAAAAGTGAGTACTGCAATAAATGAATTGGGGTAGTTAGGTGATGCATTGGATGGAGTGCCAGTCCTGGAGTCAGGAAGACCTGAGTTCATATCCTGCCCAAGACACTTACTAACAACATGATCCTAGGCAAGTCATTAAAACCTCTCTCTGACTCAGTTTGCTCATCTGTAAAATATGGATAATAAAAGTATCTATCTCACAAGGTCACTGTGAGGATCAAATAAGATATGTTGAAGTGCTCTGCAAACCTTAAGGCACTTTACAATTGTTAGCCACTATTATTGCACACATATGGGAGATATTTAGTTGTAAGTGACATTTTAGCTCTGGTTCTATAGTACATGCAGAGAAGACTAATGATATCTCCAGGTCCCTTCCAACACTCCATGACTTTCTGAATCCATTCTGTCACATTCAATTACATTTTACCTTTCTGGTGCTGTAGCATACCCCTGCAAGAGAGTTGTCTATTGTCTGGGTAATTGATACTGCACAATGCTGTAGACACAACTGTCCCTTAAAAGGCCAAAAGTTTTGATGACATTTATCATCCCTAAGGAGCAAGAATGTTAAACTTGGCCAAGATATCCAGTTCTGGGAACAGCTCCTCCAAGATTATGCTCCCAACTCCACGTGTGACTCCCACAAGTATTAATTAGG